AGAGTGCCCTTAGCCTTAACGGCCGGACTCTCAGAGCGTACAGACGTCCTAGGGCTGTGATCACCTTGATCACTAGCGAGCGACTGCACGCTGTCATCCTTGTGCTCACTGGGCACTGGGCTGTGCCCTCCCACAGAGTCCGCAGGAGCATCGTGCGTGCTCTCGGACTCGGCTTCGTCCTCACTGCCAGAGATGAGCTCAGGTTCCACGAACCGAGGGCTCGGACGATTGTCTGAGGCCGAGGGCGACGGACTGCGGCACTTATTTGCTCGCTTGCCCACAGCCGCGTCACCCGAGGAACTGATCGCCTCGGAGGCCACCTGAGTAGCCTCCTTGAGTGCCGAGCCTTTGCCGTGAGGCTTAGTGCTCTTGACTTGCGCCTTACCGGCAGCAGCCTTGGAGCGTGTCTTAGCACCGATCTTAGCAGTGCCACGAGGCATGATTAACGGTCGAAGTGGAGACCCAGAAGAAGAGCGCACAGACTGCTGCTCGAGGCTCTAACTGTAAAGTGAGCCTCCGCCGCGCTCGCGCGGCCAAGTCGATGGTTTTCAACTTTGAGAATGAGAGTTTGTGACGAACACCTCTTCATTCTGATTGGTCGGTAAACCGAACCTAAGTGGGGGAGGATGTAACGGGGTACGTAGCCCTAAGTGTACCCTGGTTATATGAAGTGTGACACTTCACACTTCAGGAGTATGACACGTCATACTCCGGGATATTTGGTACAAAGTACCAAGGTCGTTCAAAGCCAACCATTGGTCAACGAGATTGCATTTCTATAGGTGACTTATAGTTTGTATTAAACCCAAGCTTAATCTACCTATAAATATACTCAGTTTACAATCTACCTTATTTAGGTCACTTCGCTCTCTTTTAAATAAGAGGGGACCTGTGAACTGCCGTTCACTGAGAGTTTGTATACTCTCGGAAGATAACTTCGTCTAGCGCAAGGTGCTGTGTGACCCCGTCACACCTGTGAACCGCCGTTCACTGAGAGTTTGCATACCCTCGGAAGCCAACATCCTCTAGCGCAAGGTGCTGTGTGACCCCGTCACACCTGCTAGCACTTGTAGTCAATCCACGCCAACGCGAGTAGTCTACCAGAACCTCTCTGAAGCTCGTTGCCATGGATAGGAACGACGTCTCCCATCTGAACGACTCACAGCTCAAGTCGATTCGGAAGATGGCTGGTGGATGTCCAGCAGAGCCTGGTGGCATCAACACCGGCCGAGCAGCTCGAGCGTGTCTATGCGTTTGACGCTTACGAGCAAGGGTTCATCGCGCATGTGCGAGAGAATCTACAGGCTCCGGCGGCGGAGACAAATCCGCCACACCTGAAGCCAATATGGCTGAAGGTTAAGTCGTATGAAGAGAAGGAAGGTGAGAACCTTCACTTCTGGGTCCGAGAGGTAGAGCTCGCGGTGGACGTGGCTCTGGTCTCGATCGAGCAGCTTTGTGTTGCTTTTGCGCTCTCCAACCTTAGCACGCGTGCCAAGAGTTGGGCTCAGCTGTGCGAACATTTCCGAGAGGCGATCCTCCCGGCGAGCTACGAGTGCCGCCAGCGTTCGCGCTTCCTATCATGCAAGCAAGGGAGACGCGAGCTGCATGATTACGTCCAAGACATACGGAAGCTTACGGCGTCCCTAGTGGGAAACCCACTCAACGAACACGTCAAGATGACTGTGTTCATGGACGGCCTTCGAGTAAGCCCAGCGCGTACTCAGCTGTTCCGGGTGCAGCTAAGCATCCTCGAAGAGGCGATTCAAGTGGCTCTTCAGAAAGAATACAGTCATCGCCAGGCGCGCACGCCGGCCTCAGCATAACCTGGGAATTCTTTGTCGAATCCCGGTCAAGCAAACCCTAACGGACTAGCTCCCATGGAACTCGGGTCCGCCGAGCAGCGCAACATTCGCTGCTTCGGCTGCGGGAAGCTGGACCACATCAAGCGCGACTGCCCCGCGGAGAGACTTCGCGGGTGGACGATCCCCAAGCCCGTCCTGAAGGCTCGCTGGCAGAAGACAGGATTTTGGGGACAGGGGAGCGCCGGAGACCAGTAGGGGCAGGACGCCCTACTGGAGAAGAGCTAAGTCGTCGTGAGGGATGCGCGGGTGACGCGTACCATGGGGACTTCTATCGAATCGGCGAAGAGCAGTGACGGGCTGCTCGTAGTACACGGATGTGTACGGGGATACGATCACCCCTTTAGAATCTTGATCGATTCTGGGGCGTCGAAGAATTTCGCACGCTGCCAGACGGTTGCTCGTAGTAGCAACAAGTTGTCCGATGCTTTGAGAGAAAGCAAAGGCAATAGGAGGGTGTCAGAGCGACTAGCCGACGGGAATTTTGTCACTGTCCCCAACGTCCAAGTGGATCTGGCCGTCAAGTTTGAAGACTTTGACAGCCTCGAACAGTTTACTGTTCTCGACATGGATCCCTACGATATGATCCTGGGCATGTCCTGGCTCGAGAAGCACGAGCTCTGGATCGACTGGCGAGGCAAGGCAATCGGTGCTCGCCGCCATGCAAAGTCCCACAGAGCATTGGTGAGTCGTGTTCCCACCTCTGTCAGGACGCGGGGCGCCTGCAAGGGCTGCCAGGGTACCTAAGCATCCAGCAGATACTTGGGAGTCGTCGACGTATATGACGATTCCAAGGACGCTTCGATGGTGGCGGTGTCCAGAGGAGGCGCCGTCCAAGTGGGTAACTTAGGTCCACAAGCGGGTAACATAGTTCCGCAGACAGCTGTAGCTGTCACGAACGCTGGTATTAGCGTGTTCAAGGTGGATAACAGAGTCCCACACACGGTCGTCAGACCTTAACTGAAGAGGAAGACGTCGGATACACTTTTTGGGTGGGTAACACAGTGCCACACGCGGTCGCTTAGGCCATAACTGAAGAGGAAGACGTCGGACACGTTTCCTGTGTGGGTAACACAGTACCACACGAGGCCTCGAGTGCCTCGGATGTCGGCGTTCCGACATCCCTCGACGTGGGTAACAAAGCTCCCCGTCACGGTCGCCGTCGACGATGACGCCGCCGCCGCCGAGAGTCGGATCTGAACCTCGTTCAGATCGACGTCACTTCAAGCGATTCGAAGTCCAGAGCCCGGGATCCTCCGACACGGCCGGTGGAAGAGTGTTATCACATCTTCGATGGTGAGACCGGTTTACCCGTCAAGGCATCTGGTGTCCACTTGGAACCGTTGCCAGAGGTTGCAGAGATACTGAACCTCGAGGAAATGACGGTCGAGTGATTCCTGGTTAACCTCACGTCTGGAAAGGTTGCCGAGATGGTACTCATTAAACCTAAGACCACACGGGAGGAGCTGAACTTTCCTCTGTCTTGGACGAAGACGTCTTGGAAGAGATGAACAAGCAGCGTAAGACGCGCTTGGGTTCTAAGATCCTTAAGAACCCCAAGGATCCGGTGTATCCTTTAGTGATGGAGTATGCGGACGTGGTGAGCAAAACCCACCGACCCAACTCCAACCAGATCGAGGCGTACGGCATGAGATCGATCTCGTGCCTGGCATCAATTTTTGTGCCACGAGAAAATGGCTTCTTCCGCGCGAACAGTGCAAGGTCATCGATGCCTTCTTCGCTGCGAAAGCGAAAGAAGGCTTGGTGCGGGAGTCGAAATCCCCGCACTCGACGCCGACTTTCTGCGTTCGGAAGCCGAACGGAAAGTGGCGTCTAGTTCATGCTCATAACAAGCTGAACAACGCGACGGTGCCGGCCCAAACACCAATCCCACGAAAGTATGTGTTGTTGAACAACATGGCCGGAAGCGTACTGTACAGTGTGCTAGATTTGATAGACGGATACTACCAGATCCGGATGCGCGAGAGCGACATCCCGCTCACCGCGGTGAGCACTCCAAGCGGCATGCTTCGGGAGTGGCTCGTCATGCCGCAGAGCTTGTCTAACGCCCCGGCGACATTCAGCCACCTGGTGGCGCAATTATTTAGACCACTGTGCGCCTTCGTACAGACGTACTTCGACGACATCTTCGTCCATAGCCGTGACGAGGGAGGCAAGACGGCCATGGAGGTGACCTCCGTCGAGTGTTGAGTGTGATGCGAGCGAACAAGCTCTACGCCAACATCGACAAGTGCGCCTTCGCGTCACCAGAGATTAAAGTTATCGGTTTCTTCGAAAGCAACGTGAGTGTTCGGGCTGGCTCAGACAAGGTCAAGGCCATAACAGCATGGTCAACGCCCCGATCCCAGTAGGATATGCGAAAGTGGTTGGGCTCGGCCATCTACCTTCACAAGTACAGTCAGTACGCGGGCTTCGCTAAGCCCTTGTCGGACCTCGTTCAGACGGACGTCGACTAACGCTGGGAGCAAAAGCACCAGGATGCCTTTGAATACATCAAGGCCAGTCTCCAAGAGGCCACCCAGGACCCCAAAACTGCATGGAACGCTGCCACCTCGGCGAAGACAAGCTCAGTCACGGAAGATTGGGGCTCAATCAACGCCCCCGTAGCAGACCTTCTTGGCAAAGATGGAAGCACAGATTTCCTTGGCGAGTGCACACTCACATCAGGATGCGCATTTTCAATTACAGTAACCTTTCCGTTCTGAGCACAAGATCGGCTACATCCACTGGTGTGCCAGCATCCACCGAAGTATTCGCGTGTAGGTCTGCCGACGTCTCTGCTGACCTTTTTGCAGGTAGATTAACTGTAAAGCTCTCATGCGTCGGCGGCTCCTTTGTGCACCAAAATGGTGCCATCAATTGGTGAAACGGACAGTAAACAATACTACTAGTAGAATTGTCCTTTCCAGCATTCGGTAAACTTTACTTTGCTTCAAAAAATGATAATCAACCACAGCCGAGTCACAGCAAACGAAACTCCAGATACTGCGATCACCAATGGATAACACAGTCACTTTTCAGTTGTCACTTCGCTCGTGCACTTGCTGAACTATACCCAGAACTCAAGATTTTCCTATTGCATGCTACTTGCCTAGGGTGAGCGGCACCCAACAGTGACACCTAGTCGATACTTGGAGCAGGCGAGCCTAACCAGTCGATTCGCGCACCAGCCCACTTTGTTTTCATAATTTCTTCAAGAGGAGGCGACCCATGGCCACCACTCACACCAGCGTTTTCGATAGGAACAGATTGGCCAATGAACTCCGTCGATTTCTCGAGTGTCACGCGGCATTTTGTAAGTTGAGGACACCGCTGCCCATTGCTAGAATTACTGTTTCTTCCCAGTCCATTATAGTAAAACCAATCGAATGAAAGCAGTGGATCCCGCGTTGGCTCACTGGGAGGAGATCGACTTGTTTGCGAGGTCCCTGGAGCAGGGTCAGTAGAGCCGCCTCTCTCCTCCGCGTCAAACTGTGCTTGCAGCTCCCGAGCGAGATCAGAATCGGAGCGCTGGAGGAGAGGTCGAGACTGCGCCGCGGAATTCGGATCGTACTCCCCAGACAGCGCCAACTCAAAGTCGTTGGTGTGTAGCAACACTGAGATAGCTTTCCAGTACTCGTCCCAGAGTACGATGCCAGCACCGCTTGAGATTTCCAGCCTGGCTAATAGTCGAGCCATAACATACTCGTTTGAGAGAATCTCGGAGGACACCCCAAGCTGCTTCAGCGAGTCCGCAAGGGATGCCATCTCCATGAAGCCGGTCTCCATTGGGTCAAAGGTCTTGAAGACTCGCTGCACTCGTTGAAAAAGCTGTGCGGATGCCGATTCCTCGCAAACACGGGCATCCAAAGCAAACCCAACGCTAAAGTGTGACGAGCTGCCGAGCACCCACACGGGAAACTGGGGCGATTTGTAGTAGCTACCCACTTGGCAGTATCGCAACGCCTCCAATTGTGTCAAGTAGCCGATTCGCGCTCGATATGGAACGCCGTGCAAGTACAGCCCTGTGTCGCCCATTGGGACGCTCCCATCAAATACGTTGGACACGGCCTTACCAGTGAGAAGCAAGTTCACCAGCTCTTGTGTACAGTGCCCAAACGCCCCCGTAAGAGTGTTAGAAGGGTCGTCCATCTCCTCACGCACAGCAGCAACGCTCTTAGTGCGTAGCACGCTGAACGTGAAGTTGATGACTCCATGTGGGCTGCAGAACGCTGACATTTCGTGGTGCAAGAGCGTCACCAAGTCATGGGGAGGCCTATCTGTCTGTACTGGAGGCACCAACACGGTGCTCTCTCTGTACTTCACTGGTGTCCCGTTGTCTGCATCTTCCTGTACCACCACATGCACTGTTCGGTCGTCACCGAGGCACTGCATTAATAGCGAGGCCATGGCCTCAGCCAGGAGATGACGTTTTGCCGCCTCATCCCCCACTAGACTCTCGCGCTCCATTAGCTGCTGTAGATTGGTGCCACTGTTGATCAACGTATCACGGTGGCGCACGAACAGGAAGAGTCGAAGCATTTCAGCTTGCACTGCTGCCAGTACACCACACGGGCCACCGTGACCCTGCACGAGCCCGATCGGGAAGCCCTGCAGCGTCTGGAATTCAAATCCTTGTTGGTACCAGCGCTGGGAATCGTCGGAAGTGTCATCGCCTGTCGACACCGCCGGCCACAGCAAGCGAAGCAGACCCTCTACCTCCGTCGCTGTCAATAAGGAGACCATAATTCCGCTGATTGAAGCGATCCAGGATTTTTTTTCTGAATTAAGCGTTTTCAATGAAAGGATTTTTTTTTCTGAATTAAGCGTTTTCAATGAAAACGCTTAATTCAGGAAAAAAATCCTTTTCAACATGTATTATGTGTTACACACGTTTTACACACGTCACACATGTCGGTGCGGCAATGCGATCGTGCCATCGGAGTTGAAGAAGGCCCAGCTTGACCTCAGTTCAGAGGTGCTGAGGTAGGCAGCATCGCACTGCTCTATTTTAAAGCTTTTGCACATGTATTCGGACAAGTACGTATGAGTGGAGTCCGGAAATATTGTGAGATATGTACAAGAACAGCAGGCAGGCTGAAGTTGCCGTTTTATATCAATACCTGACACAGGTTCACATTTAGTGTCTGAAGAAGAAAACTGCTCAGCAGCAGGCTTGGAAACAGGCTTCTCACGAAAATGGCACAGCCGTCTGTAGGCTATCCGAGTGCGATCCGACAAGCAAATTGAATTCGACAGCATGATTTCAGTTTATACTGCCATCGTTTGTTTGAAAAAATCAATGCAATTTTCGTATGCATAATATTACACGGTGCTTCAATTGGTGAGACTGGTAAATTCTAACAGGGACCCTTTTTATTTGATAAAGAGAATAATATCGGCTTTACGCTTGTACCATTTTCTGTGCTATTGCGCTAGCCCTAGAATGTAAGGGTGGGAAAGACAGACGATGTGCATCATGAGGACATTTCGAAGCGTCATTCCCCGCTTCGGTCATTCGCCTTATTTCCACTCTTAGAGACTGTTTGCAGAGCGACACTGGCAACAGATATACTATTAGCAGGATGCAGCAGGGTTTGAGCGCGCAGGAGAATAAGATGAAGCTAAGGCAGAAGGAAGAGCCACCCGACCAGCTCCCGCTGCCGGCGGACGATGCGCCGCAGGAGCTGAGCCGAATTCCAGAGGCGGCCGAACAACAGGCGATCTCGAGCGACGTCGCGACGGGCCCCGCTTGCGCTCAGGACGTGGCTGCGTACTGTCAGAAGGAGGCCAACATAGTGGCGCTGCTACACGAGGCGCCAAATTTGGTGGAGCCTCGCAAGATTGTCGAAGCCGTACGCAAGGTGCGCTTGTGCATGATCACGCACGCCGAGGTGCTCTCCACCGACTGTGTGAACACGCTGTCGGCCGATGTTGTGGGCGCGTCCAAAACGATGGCCACATCCGTGCCGGCAAAAAGCGTTGCGGCGCTGGAAAACGAGGGCGTGGACGACGACTCGTCCATGGAAATTAATATCTACTACTCAAGGCACCACAACGGCGCAGGGCACGCGCTACGCTCTGGTGGTGCTCTAGCTGCCAACCACATCCAGACAGGAGGACCCTCGTTTAACCTTGCCGGGGTGCTTGCGCACCCGGTCACATGGGCTTTCGTGCTACCATTCTTTGCCGTCGGAATGTACGTGAGCATCACTCGGGTGGCGACGTTCCTGCGCCGGCGGCGGGAGGAGCGCCGCATCGAGAGCAAGCAGTACATGCCCGTGAATTGAGCAGATCAACCGTCGTGAAGTAGAAAGCGATCTATTTGTAGCAGTAGTAAAGCGGCTTAATTGAGCAGTATATATAAGGGAATCGAGCGCCAAGTCGCCGCCAACACATAAAATAAAAACTGTTGACTAAGATCATTTTCCCCCCTTGAGCCATGATCAGACTTCTCCACCGGGACAGGACAGGATACTTCGTATCCTGTTTCTGAGAAGAAGAGCGACGGCTACACTTTTATTTTAAGAGTGTTCAATAATTTAAAAAGAGAGTGAGTATTTGCCAGACTGGGAGCATCCCACTCGTAGCAAATCTTGTGTTATCTTCGGATTTGCTAGGATTTGCTGATATCGTCCATATCCGAACTCGGTACAGCGTATACTCTGCGTATACCCCTCCCACACAAAAAATCCTCCCCCTCAAGCAAATTCGTGGCGCCAACGGACCCAAATGCCGCCGCGCCCACGCAGCGCTCCAAAGCGCCCCCTGCTGGCAGACGACAGCGACGATACCAGTGACGGCGCCGCATCCGGCGGCTCTTTGAGTGAGTGGGAGCCGTCACTAAGACCACCTCGTGTGGAAACGACGGGGACGAGCAGCGCTAGCGAGGAAGCCGGACCAGTCGGTGTCATCGCTCCGCCTCCGGGGGAGACGCAGTTCAGGTCGTGGGAAGAATTCGAGGCATACTTTGCACAGTATCAAGCTCGGTCGTTCCAGGTACAGTTGATAAGTTTTTTTTTAATTATATTCAGTGTTATCTAAGCTAATTGGTTGGTATGTTATCGATACAATATTAGATCTACCGTACCAGAACGAACACCTCAGTTCCAGTACGGAATGCTCGGATAGATGCCCAGGGATCTAAGGCGTGTAAGATTCCCGACGAGTGGGACCAGTACGCAAAAACATACGTGTGTACGCATTACGGCGAATTCCGATCGCAAGCCACAAGTAAGAGGCCTTGTCAGGAGAGTCGAGCTTCTGGATGCTCTGCCCAGGTATGTTGCTGCTGCAAATTAGAATGTCGGGTGTGCTGTGCAAGATACATGATCAACTAGGCGAAGTCAGATTCAATCGGACATGGTATGGTTCAATCTGGCATGGTCTGGTATGATTGAGTATTGACTGGTTTGATCGGACAAATTTGCTAATATCTGCTTGCAATATTTTGTTGATTTCAGATCAATGTGTGCGCTCAATAGATCAACAAAGCTACCCATACATTTACTCTAACGATTACGAAGTGCCACCTTGAGCACAACCACACATTGAACGAGTACGCTTTCAAAAGCCACTCGTCCAACCGTGTGTCCCTCGATGAGAGGGCTTTAGAGACAGTGGACGAGCTCCGCAAGGCTGGCGCAAAAAAGACAAGCATTCTCAAGTTTATCAAGGACAATTCCGATAGCAATCCGAAGCCGCAGGATGTTCATAATTTGGTTCGCAAATTGAAGGCTCGCGAGCAAGGATCGACCCCAACGTCTAGTTCAAAGCGGTTAAAGAAGTGGATGTCCGAATTTAATGATGCTCCTGGCAACGTGGGGCGCATCTTCGTGGACGATGTGGGAGAAAAGGTATGATATACGACGTTTATGTTTTAAATTTAATTTCATTATTGCCTATCTAACCGTTTCATAATGTTAGAAATTGGCAACCTGTATTACGCTTCAAACCAAACACATGCGATCGATCTTCACTCCCCGGATGTACTTCTAATTGACGCAACGCATGGAACCAATCGATCGAGGTACAAGGCTTCTCTTTCATGGCACACGACACTTTTAGAAAAGGCCAGTTTGTGCAGCATGCCCTACTCCACAACGAGCAGTGGAGAACATTGTTGACTGCAGTATGAGTTCAGTAAAACTCCCAGGGCTCATGTAGCCCACGAGAGAGCGAGCTTACCACCGGCGAAGAAAATATATCCTGTGGAATCCATAACCCGTGTATTTCGCAAAGACTTCATTGAGAAGTGTAGCGCCAAAGTCTCAGCCCTGCAGAAGAAACATAAAGATTCATCGGGTGTAAATCTAGGCGAGCAAGAAATTGCGGTGGAAGTAATCGGTGTTGGAACATACACTACCGAGACGTTGGGTGTAATGATAAAGTGGCACAGGGCGATGAAAAGCATACAACACGTGGACAAAGCTATAAACTGGATCGAGACTATTGATTTCACTCTACAGATGCCCGAGCATTTCCAAGTTGATCCAGACCCAGATATACTTGCTAAGCTGAAGGCCATCCCACTTCTGTCCGTGCAGGTACAGCTAACGTACATTTATTGATACAATGGACTTACTAGCGTTGATAACATCTTCTTGAATATAGGTGGAAGCGCTGGAGCTCGTTGGCAAGTCGCCCTTGGGTGATTGCGCCGTCAACACTTTAGTGCTGAAGCTGTTCGCAGAAAGAGTAGACACGATTGGAGTCGACACGTCCATCGCGGGAAGCGTTATGAATGGTTATTTATCGATCTATACGATGAAGGGCGTGTTTGTAGGTGTTACGGGTGAGAAGATTTTGATTCCGATCATCTGCGGCAAGAATCACTGATGCTCTGTCATGATTGACCTGACATGTAAAGACGTAACAGTCTACGAACCGATGAATTCCAGCTACGGAGTGAAGGTTCGCCCCCTTGCTGACGAATTGGTGACGATGCTACCAGACTTCGCCCCAAGAAAGTACCGAGTCCGAATGTACGAAAGTGATCTTGGAGTGCAGGTCGATAGCTACAATTGTGGCATGTACATGCTGTTGGCATTCGAGATATTTGCCGGTGCTACTACTATGCGTGCGCTAAGTAGGAAGGAGTTGCAGTATCTACGCTATCGGTATCTCTGCATGTGCATTTAGCTGAACAAGTTTTAAATGATTTGGTCTTTTGTTTGTGTGTGTCGATTGCATGACTACCTCCGGGTTATTCACCCTGCACTTTGTCTTGAGAGTTAGATATCCCCAGCGCAGTCTGCTGAATGTCTTGCAGATATAAGTTTCGAAACCGACCGACATCGAGCTTCCGGTTATACGTATACTCCCGAAGACACATCAACTGATGACGTGTCCGGCTCTTCACGAGTCTGGCATATTCGGGCATGCTAATCGGGTGTATTCTGGTGTAATTGTACTGTCTCTTGTTACCCAGTCTGGCTGAATAACGAGTGCCATTTAAAAAACAACTACTTCTTAAAAATAAAAGAAGTAGCATATTTTAAAATAATTTAAAAAACAACCACTTCTTAAAAAAAAGATGTAGTTGTTTCTTAAATTATTTTAAAAACAACTACTTCTTAAAATAAAAGAAGTAGTTGTTTCTTAACCCCTTAGTTCCCATTATGTTGGACCCTACAACATAAGGGGTGTATACCCTAATTCACTTTTGTCGCAGCATCTATGTTATGTTGGACCGTACAACATAAGGAGGTTTTTTACTTATAGTTTGTATCGGCCTGTCTGAATACAAAGATTAAGTTTATTTCGTGTGTGTAAAACGAACGAATGCACAGGTGTAGGGTTTGGAATTCCTGCAGAGCACCAGAAAAAGGGTGTCGTCACCCACCAAATATTGTTGGCCGACAGCCACTGAATTCGCTCATTCGAGAAAAGGAGCTGGCACGAACAATGGCGGCTTCCACTGGCAAGAAACCCCGTAGCAAACGGATGAAGCGAGGAGCATGCAATCCGCATACGCTTTCCGGCGGGAGCGACGCGTTCGACGAGCAGCTGACAATCAGCACGCTCCCCAAAAGAAGGCCGCAGCGAAATCACTAAACGCCCCGAAACCGAAAGCCTGCGTCGATTACGGCAGCGGAGTTGATGCGGCGGAGGAGAAGGATGATGAGGCCAAAAGAGCCGAAGCATCGGCAGAAGATATCGAAGTCCCAGTTGAAGCCATACCCGTGCCTGCGGACGGAGAGGAGACACCATCGACAAACTTAGCGCCGCGAGCGGACGAGAAGGTTGTGGGCAAGAAGAAGGCGCCATCAGGTAAGAAGAGAGCCCCGGTGCAGGTTCCGGCCATGTGGAATAGTGCCCTTCCGACACCCGGGGGAGATACACCGACACATGCTGCATCAGCTTCCAGCCCACAGTCCCAAGACCATGTAGCTGCGGACGTAGAAGCAGCAGTTGCCGGGATTATATCCCAAGTCGAGGTTGAGGAGACCAGTGAGGCAGCCCCTTCTATCCGGACAAGCCCAGAACTCCAATCGTCCACCATCGCGAAGAGAAAGCGCGCTAGTACCAGATCATCAAGGAAGCGCCGCCGACGTATCCTTCCCGATGAGAGCGAGGAAGGAGAAGACGATTCGGTACGTTATGTTTATGTATCCATCATAACGATTGTGCTGACGAAGGGTATTCAACACAAGACTAACATAAGACGTCACTGGTTTTAAATGCAGGCTCAATCCAGTGGTCCCGAAGACGATAACCCAGAGGCGACAACGGCGATACCAACGTGCTTTGTCGACGGAGACCCCAACATGATGGACTCGGGAGCTCAAACGTGCACCGGCCTCAACTCAGATGAGGATGAAGATCTGCATGAAGAGGTGAAGATGAAGACGATGCGGAAGATGATGACTGCACCTGGGTTGCGGACTGGGAAATTGGAGAGCTGACCGACGAGGATACCGATGAAGAACAAGATGAGCTTCCTGCGTCTGCGTGGTCGTCAGTAGCAAAGGACAGTGAAGCTATCAAGGCAATGAAAAGTACCGGGTGGGAGTACGGTACGCTATGGTGGCCAAACATATCCAACATAAATGTGTGTGCGGACCGGGACATCCAACAGAAGGACTAACATAACGATGGCTCTGTTGATGTCAGATCCTGCTAAGTTTGGTGCAGAATCCACGTACAAGGACCTGTACGATGGACCGTATGGACCATCAACGAGTGTTCTTGCAGTTGCAGAAGACCCGTTGGCTTTGCTGTTTTACTTTATGCCGCCCAAGCTCTGGCGTCAGATTGCGATTGAAAGCAATCAATATCATTCCCAATCCATTCCACAACGTGCACGGGCGATTCGGTCCCAACAACGGCGGGCTGGAGGAGAAATAGAAGAG